GGTTTCTTTTCTTGCTGCTTTTGAAATTTTTGGAATTTAGGGACATAGTTTGAGGATGAAGAGTGTTGAGCCAGAGTTTCACCAATTGTATTAGCAATATCAGAAGTATCGGTTAGTAATTCATTCCCATTTTTAAGGTGATGGATACTAGATGTTGAACCCTTTCCTTTAATCTTCCGGATCATGTTCCATACCTTAGATATTGGCGTACGTGAATTAATCTTGGAGACATAATGGTGCCAAGATTGACGCTTGTTTTGTTTAAATGTACGCCGTGCTTTGGCGTTTAATATTTTAAATTTATTTAAATTGTGGACCATAGGATGGCGACGGAAATAGTGTTCAGCTTTTTTCCTTGCCTTCCTAGCTAGCTTGCAATCATTGCTGAACCATGGTTTACGTATGTGAGGATTTGAGGAGGACTTCGGAATACATTCATCAGCTATTTTATTAAGTTCATCGGAAAAAAGTTTAATAGGATCAGTAACATCAAGAAAACCATCAGGTTTTAGTTGATTAGTGCAGAGGACTTCATATAAAGCCCAGTTTGCCTTAGTAAAATTCCATCTTGATGATGGAGGAACATCAGATGGTGTTACAGATTTTAAAATGGTAGGAAAATGGTCACTTCCACAAAGGTCATCGTGGACTGACCATTCAAATTCCTGAAGTAAATTAGAATCTACAACTGACAAGTCTAGACAAGAGTAAGTGCCAGTTGCAGGATGTAGATATGTGTGAGTATCATCATTAAAAATGCACAAATCGTTATTTATGAAAAAATCCTCAAGTAATTTTCCTTTATTATTAGTGTCACAACTACCCCAAAGCGGGTTATGGCCATTCAAATCTCCCATGATAACACAGGGCTTAGGGAGCTGGTCATATAGTGACTGAAGATCAGACTGTCGAAGAGAGCACGATGGAGGTACATACAAAGAACATAAAGTAAAAACAATATTTAATGTTACACGTACCGCAACAGCCTGAAGAGGGGTATTGAGAGGTACAGGACTGTGAATGACGCCCTGCCTCACTATAACAGAAGATCCTCCAGTTGCTTTATCCCCTGGAGGGGAAAAGCAATGGTATGAATCATACTGTCTTAAATCAAATTTGTCCGTAGTTTTAAGGAAAGTTTCTTGTAAACAAAAAGCAGAAGGTTTTAAATCTTGAATTAATAGCTGAAGGTCATTGAAATTGTTCCGAAGTCCTCGACAATTCCATTGTATTAAGGGAGCAGAGCAGCTCATGGGGGTTCAATTGGAGATCGCGATCTGGGGGAAGGTCCTCTATGCTGCAATGTCAGCGATGGAGTGACCTCCATAGCTAGAGGTTCAAAAGTGTTATGAACCTCTACAGGGATTATCAAAGGAGATGGCACCTCTACTTGTTTGAGGGCCCTCAATTCTTTCTTTTTTAATTGTTTCTTTTCCTTGTTCGTGAGATGTTTAGTGTTAGGTACTTCTCTCACTGACTCGGGTTTAGGTACAGACACAGGTACAGACACAGGTACTGCCAAAGGTACAGGCACAGGCACAGGCTCAGGCACAGACTCAGACTGAAGCTCAGTCTGAGATGCAGACGAAGAAGAATCTCGAGAAACTGGAGGTAAGATTGACTGCTTGTCAGAGACCCAGCAGATGTCTGTCTGGCATGCACAGTCGACTTTGCGAGTTGAAGTGGAAACGGCCGCAGAATACGACAAGGAGGAAGGTGTAGTCGGAGTTTGTTTAGCCAAGAGTTTCATAGCTTCTGAAAAGGAAATGTTATTAGTGTGTTTTATTTTTAGAAGCTGAGATTGCTTCTGATAGTATGGACAAGATTTTGATGAAGAGAAGTGTTCACCGCTGCAGTTAGCACATTGGATATCATTTGTGCAGTCAGCACTATCGTGACTTTTACTGCACCGGGAGCAAACTGGGGACTTGACACAGGATTTGGCTCCATGTCCAAATTTCTGACACTTGAAACATCGGAGTGGATTTGGAATGTACACATCCACCCCGATGTTGAAATATCCAGCTTTAATTGAGGTTGGTACTTTTGGACAAGCAAATGTAAGAAGATATGTAGTTGTTTGTACAATTTTATCATTATCTTTCCTGGTGAATCTTTTCACAGATGTGACGCCTTGTGATTGAAGTTCGAACGTAATTTCCTCTTCTGACATGTCAGAAAGACATCTGGCACGGTCACGGATGATCCCTCTACAAGAATTCAAATATCTATGAGTAGAGACAGCAATTTCAACATTTCCGAATTGGTGTGCATTGAGCAGATTTATGGACTGTTGTCGTTTAGAACATTCAACAAGCAATGACCCGTTCCTGAGGCGAGTCACGTTCTTTACATCTCCACAAATTCCTTCGAGAGCTTTTGATACAATGAAAGGGTTGATCTTAAGAGGAGCTCCATCAACACCATCGACCACCAGAAACCGGGGCCAGGAGTCAACATTAGTTTGTCTTGTACTCTCATCATCTGAGGACAAAATTGTGTCTGTGTCTAAATGTCGTCTCTTATTTTTCGTACGAGAACCAGTGTATTGTTGAGTAGCCATGATAGGGAAAAGTGATTCAACATCCCGGCTCCCCACCCACCATGGAGTGTCAACAAGGACGATGTTGTAGTGGAAGCCGGCTACAAACACCAGGGTTACGGGGATGCTATACTCCAGCAAGAAGGACACAGGTAGCTACAGATGTCAAACAGAAAAAAGTCAGGCTGGTTCGGCCCTTGACAATTATCTCAAGACAAATAGAACCCGGAGGTCAATAATGCCAGATTGGCCCATGAGCCACCGCCTACAGGCATTGGACTCTAGGCAATGTTACAGTCATACATTTATAATGAGTAATATTCAAAAGTACTTTGTAAAAGTAATACAATAGAATGTATTAACCATGCCAGGGCATGACATGACCAGCCGATTGATAGAACCGGGCCCATTCTACCACCCGTCTAGGTGAAGTAAGGGTCAAAGTGGTGTGTTGGGCAAAAGGAACACCTGTTCCTGGCTCCAGTGCCCTCAACCACCAGAATCCCGTCCTCCATCGACACAGGGGCGCAACCCACGGCAAACAGGCTGCCCACTTTGGTCGCCTTTTACGACCAGCAATGGGGTGCTGTGGAAATATTCTACCCCGGTTCCACACGGGGGAAGAGCTATTAGCGCTACCCAGCACTCACCACGAGGAGGTTGCTCTTCACGAGTGCCATATATAAACCAAAAGAATTGGAAGTTGCCATGACAACGTAATGACGATTGTACAGTCCAGCCTAACGCAATGGGAAGCGTAACGCAGCGTTAATAACATTGTTTTAGTCATGACAGCGAGGACCATTATGACGTCTTTTGTCTTCTTTGATTATGACGTCCGTATGCCTTTTGTCTACTTTGATTGTGACGTCTACATGCCTTTTGTCTACTTTGATTGTGACGTCTCTATGCCTTCTGTCCACTTTGATTGTGACGTCTCTATGCCTTTTGTCTACTTTGCATTCAGCAAACACATGCAGATCAATAGACACGATGTTAAAGGTATCCATTGATTAGAATATCTGATAGAGAAGTGTTGAATGGTCCAAGTTCATGTACGGCCAAATCTATCCGACCGACAGCTCTGCCCTTCGTTTGATAGGCGTAAAGGAGAACTAGAAAGCATCATAATTAAAGAGCACAAAGCTTCAACCATCAAATCACACAAAAGATCAGCTGTCTCGAAACTATAGCGAGACGTCGCAATGACAGTAAAACAAAGCTGTTATCCTTAAGTATATGTCCGCTGTGTTACTGTTACTGTTGCTGTGGGGTAACCTAGTGGTTGCAGCGTTCACTCGTCACGCCGAAGATCCGGGTTTGTTGTTTAACGTCACACTCTCCGCCCGATCCCATTTATAATGACGGTTTATAATGATGGCTTTCATGGATGGTTTATAATGACGGTTTATAATGATGGCTTACATGGATGGTTTATAATGACGGTTTATAATGATGGCTTACATGGATGGTTTATAATGACAGTTTATAATGATGGCTTACATGGATGGTTTATAATGACGGTTTATAATGATGGCTTACATGGATGGTTTACAAGGATGGTTTATAATGATGGTTTACAACGATGGTTTCTAATTGTGATTTACAATGGTGGTTTATAATGATGGCTAATAATGGGTTACAATCATGGTTGGTAATGGCACGCGTGCATATTTCACAACACAGCGAATTACGTCTCTGACGAAGGCTGACGAAGTAGGAAGTGCCCACTAATAACTGACTGCGTGTTGCAGTCTTACATACAATGTGAGGAGTGACGTATGCATACATATTAATTCACCCAACAATTCAAATCCTTGTATACTATTTCATCGTTCTCAGCGACTTCAATTCCGGCTAATTGTGTGCATCTATGAATTTCCCATGTAAACTCAAACTAAGGCTATACAAACATTTGTCCGCCAAACATTTGAATTAATAACCAGGCGTCTACAACGCATGCACAACGCGAATAGGCTCTGACAGTTATTGTCATAGGTTTTGCAACAAATTGGAATATTAATCTACCGTTACAATGGTATTGAGAAATTAACACGTATGGCGAAATGTACATTGATATGTCAACAACGTCCTCATCCAAAACGTGTGTGATCAAACTTGGTGTATCAATATATCTCGTTACGTGTTGGAAAACGACGGCGCTTGGTCATGCTTGAATTGAGCACAGCAGGTACCCGGGGGGAAATACCCTTATCACTGACACAGTTCAATAATGCTATAAATAGACCACCCGTTTGCCCCATTGCCTGACTTACCGTTGTATTGAACATGTATAGCCAATCACAGGTGAATGGAGATCCTCAAGTCGTTCAAGAAACAACCGTTAGCGGAAGTACAATGGGTGTTGCTTGTTTTAGATTGTGACGAATATTATTCCTGGCCAGGGGTATAAAGCTGGTACAATGTTGTCGTTATTACTCATTACAACTCTATTAGCCATGGACATTGTCGGTCGTGTAGCCGTCCTGCTGGCGCTGGTCAGTGTGGTGAGATGCTTTTCAATAATCTTCAGGGGCGTCAGGTAGCCTAGTGGTTAAAACGTTTGCACGTCACGCTGAAGACCCGGGTTCGATTCCCCACATGGGTACGCGTGAAACCAATTTCTGGTGTCCCCCGTCGTGATATTGCTGGAATATTGCTAAAAGCGGCGTAAAACCATGCTCACTCAATCAATGATCTATAGTGGAATAGCGTACACAGTGAGTGGAATAAACCGTTTGACTTGAGTAGCTGTGCACAGCTTTTGTCGTTAACTATGCACAGTGCTTATCATTCTGGATATTGGACGTCAGGGGATGTGAGTGAATAAGTAAGTCTTTGGAGAACTAGCGCTGCTTGTTTTAGCATTCAAGCCATTTCCCCGACTAGGCGTCATACATTCTATATATAGATGTAACCGTGTGAGAAGTCCCCGGTCCTACATGTTTATTGAGATTAGAGGTAGCCATCGACCGCTCTTTCCAAGCGGTGCTTGTGTCAAAAACAAGCCTTATTATGGTGTTACCGTATCGTTACTTTCTTGTTTACACATACGTCCTCCCTGGTAGATATAACACTGGTGGCGCGTGCACAAAAGGAAATCTGTATTTATGTCACGTGTTACTCCAGGTCCTCCATCCTTTCGTTTACGCTCGATGGCCACACAACGTTCAATCCTACTCCGCGTTCTGTTTATGTTTACTCAGCAGCTTGTGTGAATTTCTAAACTTAATATGTATATGTTCATGTCGACCAAACGTTGTTTTGTTGTTTGTAGGAGAATGTCTTGACTTAAATTCATGCATTTTGTCTTGATGTCCTAAGTGTTGAAACGTTTCCTTGTCACACCGAAGACCCATGTAGAATGTGTAAAGCCCATATCTGGTGTTCCCTACAGCGATATTGCTGGAACACTGTACGCTGTCCGGTTTGACCAATGTCCGGATTAACTAATCATGGCTGCAATGTCCATCTGTATCTTGCCCTTCAAACAGGAAGTGTCCGTAATGCGGGGTTCAGGACTATTTTTTAACATTCATATTTTCCTCCGTAGATGATGACGCCTGCCGACTGTAGGAAACACAGGCACACTAAGAAAAATGGCCGCCATAAAGCCGCTAGTCCACCAATCATATGTGATAATTCAATGGTGTTACACACCGATGAGAGCATGTACCTTCTCCCAGCGATACGGGAACACAAGGCGAAAGCACTGACCACATCGCCGTCACAGCGGATGATGACGATCTCCAACACCAGTGACGTCAACTGCAGGGAGGGGTATGCCAGGCTGCAGGTGAAGAGAACATGTCCGCACTACTTTGTGTTGAACTATGACCCTGACCGGATACCGTCCACCATCTTCGAGGCCCGCTGCTCATGCGCGAACTGTTTGTCTGAGCAGGCACCAGGACCAAGGCGATGTGCGCCTGTATATGTGTACCGCGATGTCCTGATTAGACGGAGGAAGGCGGGAAAACACGACTCCGGGTGTTACGAACACCACTTGAAGGCATTTGTTGTTGGGTGCCACTGCATCGGACATATACATGACCCTCAGCGAAACCCAAGACCGTTGGCGTGATTTCATTTCGTCTATCTGTGGGACACATTGCAATACAAGTAGTTCTTGCTACTGAATCTCGTGTTCATAACAATACGTTTGTGTGCTGGGTGAAGGAGTGAGTTACAATAAACACTTCGTGTCCATATGTCTCCAAGGGATAGGTTTTTGGGGTGTGTGTGTGTGTGTGGGGGGGGGGGGGGGGGGATTAGCCTCTAATTCGCCCTTATTTGACCTTCCATCGTGCATTGTTCGTTATTTATTCACATGAGTATATATGCCGTCTTCGTATTCGCCATTTCAACCTGTGTCACATGCCCATCTACATTCTACCTGTTACGTACTTTGTATAGTGTAAACCACTGTCGTGCTGTGTCCTTCATGCTATTTATTCTCAGTGTTATTTTACATTGCCCTGCCGTCGTGGGTGAGGCACAGAGGGCGTGGCACCTGCGGGGGGATAGTGGCCCATGTGGTCAGCTGTAGCGGGGGCAGATGGAGGTAACTGGGGAGAATCCCTCGACCTCACGACGTTGACAACTACACAGGCCCTTGAATCCGAGCGTTTACATTTCTGGGGTGGATGCTGGTGGTGGGTGCTGGTGGTGGGTGGTGGGGATGGGTGCTGGTGGTGGGTGCTGGTGGTGGGTGCTGGTAGTGTTTTGCTGGGATTTTGGACAAAAAATATATGTTATATGAAACCGCTTTAAAACAGACAGGGTGGGTGGGTGGTTATCACATATTTGTTCCTCTCACAGAAGCTGTACCACAATATGTTGTTTTCAGGACATCTATTTTCGGAGTATTTCTTTATGTGTTAATGTTGTTTTTTCCCTACAAATTGTTTAAAAGATACATCCCAGCCCCACCCGTCAGAATATAAATAGATCGACCCCGTGTCTACTTGCCCTGTACCCGTCCACAACATCAGCCGCATGGCCATGACGTCACACTAGTCGTGTTGTGATGATGTTAGTTCTGATGTTATTTTGATAGTCAAATATGTCTGCACTCACGTTTGCTTTCTTAAGCCTTGTCACTGCCATGTATGTTTTAGTATTATGTAAGCAAACGAAAGTATTTAACAGAGTTTAGTTACTGTGCCGAGACAAGTTTCTCTGTGATTAGTAGTGGGGAGAGTGGGCTTGTCGAGACAAGTTTGTCAGTGATTAGTAGTGGGGAGAGTGGGCTTGTCGAGATAAGCCTGTCTGTGATTAGTAGTGGGGATAGTGGGCTTGTCGAGACAAGCTTGTATATGATTAGTAGTTGTGAGAATGAGGTTGTCGAGATAAGCTTGTCTGTGATTAGTAGTGGGGAGAATGAGGTTGTCGAGACAAGCTTGTCTGTGATTAGTAGTGGGGAGAGTGAGCTTGTCGAGACAAGCTTGTCTGTGATTAGTAGTGAGGAGAGTGAGCTTGTCGAGACAAGATGACCTGTGATTAGTAGTGAGGAGAGTGAGCTTGTCGAGACAAGATGACCTGTGATGTGGAGTGTCGAGCGTATCGGTCCACTGTAAAACTCTGCAGTACGCACAACTAAATGCCACGTGGTATTTAACGCTGTATGTGATATTCACATAACTCTAAGGTTTATGTGTGCTATAAAATGTATGTTTGTATCTTGTCAAAAAGTACCTTATTGATAACACAACATATTTTCAACAATGTATCTACGGACACAAAATGAATAAAATACTTTGAACGTTCAATACTGCAATCTGATGGTGTATTTGTATGTACTTTTTGCATGTCTGTGATGAGCTTCATCGTGCATGTCGACAACCCCGCTTTTATATGACATTATTCTTATTATGACGTGTCATCCTAGCATACAACAACATGTAAACGTGCTGTCCTTTACGCGTCTCAATCACTTCCTTAATTTTCGTCATTGACGAAACTTGACTTCGGCATATAAATCAATGTAGCGTTCGGTCAAGTGTCATAACATCACTTCCTGCTCGAGGGCAGACTCGTGTACATAGCTCACAAGGAGCTGTCAATCACTCCAGCTGTTATCGGGAACAATATTTCTTCATATCACAAGTCGTCGAGTAACTTCTGTCGGGCCCGATACGAGGTCTGTTGTGAACAAACGGACTCCTTGAAGCCCAGTATCGTTATCTCTCTAGTGAAGCGGTGGCACAGTATAGCAGCTGTCAAAATAGTCAAGGGTTTAATAACAACATGTGTTTCGTCATATCTTCTTTTCGTTTGTCGGTTAGAAAAAGACGTTCCAGTTACGGAGACTTGTCTGTTAGAAAGAGACGTTCCAGTTACGGAGACTTGTCTGTTAGAAAGAGACGTTCCAGTTACGGAGACTTGTCTGTTAGAGAATGACGTCTCAGTTACGGAGACTTGTCTGTTAGAGAATGGCGTCTCAGTTAAGGAGACTTGTCTGTTAGAGAATGGCGTCTCAGTTACGGAGACTTGTCTGTTAGAGAATGGCGTCTCGGTTACGGAGACTTGTCATAGAGAATGGCGTCTCAGTTACGGTGACTTGTCTGTTACAGAATGGCGTCTCGGTTACGGAGACTTGTCATAGAGAATGGCGTCTCAGTTACGGTGACTTGTCTGTTAGAGAATGGCGTCTCGGTTACGGAGACTTGTCAAAGAGAATGGCGTCTCAGTTACGGAGACGTTACTGTTAGAAAATGGCGTCTCGGTTACGGAGACGTTACTGTTAGAGAATGGCGTCTCAGTTACGGTGACTTGTCTGTTAGAGAATGGCGTCTCAGTTACGGTGACTTGTCTGTTAGAGAATGGCGTCTCAGTTACGGAGACTTGTGTGTTAAAGAATGGCGACTCCGTTACGGAGACTTGTCTGAAGCAGAATGGCGACTCCGTTACGGAGACTTGTCTGAAGCAGAATGGCGTCTCGGTTACGGAGACTTGTCTGTTAGAGAATGGGGTCTCAGTTACGGAGACGTTACTGTTAGAAAATGGCGTCTCAGTTACCGAGACCTGTCTGTTAGAGAATGGCGTCTCAGTTACGGTGACTTGTCTGTAGCAGAATGGCGTCTCAGTTATGGAGACTTGTCTGTTAGAGAATGGCGTCTCAGTGACTGTAAGAGTGTGACGAATCAGCTACGGTGACTTTTTGGTAGAAAATGACTACCAACTAAGTCGACTTGTCTGTTAGAGTGTAACCTGTCAACTACGGTGACGCGCTGCATGTGTTCACCGAGTTAATGTATTTGAGATCTAGCAACTTTCAGCATTACTTTCCAAAGGTCAGAGACGGGGAATAATCAGTCTCGGATAACTGCCGAAATAGATTTTCGTATGGAGAAAAAGGCAAAATAGTGATGTAAATTATGTGAATGGTTAAATTACAATCAATGATGACACAAGGTGTTTCCTAAAAGTGTTTGCATGTCCTGTTCTCACCACCTGAACCAATCTTTATTACAAACGGGAAATGATTATTTTTTTCTTTGTTTGCTACCTATTCCCCGATTCTCAAGGCACAGGGGGCACGGGTGACCTAGTTGTCTGAGGCGCCGTGATTCGCTGTGCAGAGTTGCGTCCCTTGGGCACGCCAGAAACCTATGATTGTGGGTTCGAATCCCGGTTTGCCCCGATTATGTTTCTAGGTTTGCCAGCACCATACCCGTGCTCGTGGGATTCACCGAAGTGGTACACGTCTGAGACCTGCATCACTTCGGGCTTTCCTCCCACATTAAATGGAACACTGTTAAAACCGGCGTTAAGCCCAACTCACTCACTCAAGCCACAGGGTGGCGGTCTGTAAGTCGAGTCTGTGCCAGACGATAAGTGTTTGATATTTATAGCAATGATCCACGCCGTCGGGGCAGGTCGGTGACGTCATCATGACAACCATACCACCAAGCTTGACCACGTGATCCACCACAGTACGTGTCAGCGAGAAGGGAACAATGGGGTAGCTCCGCGCAACCTATCCGCCTTAACATTTCTGGATTATTTATCCAGGCCTTTGATGGTGAAACCCTGATTGATAATAAAGCTGTTGTTACGCAGTGTTTTTCGAACTGACTTTATTTTCGCAAAGCTTGGCTATACATAGGCAATTTCACGTGCCGCACGATTTACATGAACTACAAAATCCGCGAAGCACTCGGCGTTCGCACGAATGCTCCCAGTTAACTCCCAGTGGTATTCCCAGCGAACATTTCATGTTCGTGGCTATAGTTCTCCGGAACATTCCCCCTTCAAATGATAGATCCCAGTCTATCATTTCTAATATTAGCTATCGATCACAACATAGTATATGTACATATATTATTTCATGTGAGACTAAATTATTCATAAAAAGTCCACACGTCCTGAAAAACAAAGCAGTCATTTCAACGTCCACATCTCTGTAAATAAGAAATATTCCACTTGAAAACATGTCAATTCACTGGTAAGTATAATGTTCATTGTTAAAACGAAAGAACAGATCCTGTTTTACGAAATGAAAAATATTAATGTTTCAGTCACTCGAAATACTTCCTTGAATGTTCATCCTTGAATAACATCTTCTATCCATGAACTCTGTCAATTCTCCATTCACGAATTCTTTTATCCGTTCCTCGAATACTTCTGCTGTTCTTTGAATCCTCCATTCACGAATTCTATCCGTTCCTTGAATACTTCTGCTGTTCTTTGAATCCTCCATTCACGAATTCTTCTATCCGTTCCTCGGAATCCTTCAGCTGTTCTGTTCTGTTCTGTTCTTGAAGCCTTCTCAAGCTGCAGTTCCTGAAACATTCCATTCCAGTGGACACACTTTTGTCACTGGTCTTGTCACAACACCCTTCCTGGTCTGTATGTCAACAAATCGAACGTGTCCATCTCTTCCAGGATGTGTCTTTATTATTCGTCCGGTGATCCAACTGCCTCTAGGTGACTGAGGGGAGACAACCAGAACGACGTCATCTACTTCAAGATCACGGTTTGGTATAAACCATTTCTTCCTTGCTTGTAGAGAAGGAAGCCATTCAGACATCCAACGTTTCCAAAAGTGGCGTACAAGTTCTTGCACTCTTCGCCAACGTTTTTTCGGATTGAACACTGTCTTATCAACCGGCTC